GACAAAGCCATTACGCTAACTGCTGGTTCTCTTCTGTTCTCTCTTGAATTTCCAAATCTCACAACATATCTGTGTTGTCAGAATGTACTTCTTTTGTCTATAATGGCATACAAGTTTCAAAACTGACTGTGGGGGAGGGGTTCACCTGGCCTGGGATATATACAGTGTCCTGTGTAGCCACCTAAGTTTTAAAAATTCAGTATTTTTCTTATTATGAAACCATGGATTTATCACCTGTCCTCTGCCAAATTTAGAAAATACAAAATAGCAAATATGTAATTTGTTCAAAATAGGTTCACTTTGTATATATTTTGCAGCCTTTGATTTAGCAGTAGTGGATTATAAACATTTGCAATGTCTTTACTTTTTTCTTTTTTATGCCTGAGGGCCCATGTGAGACAGAGAGAGAGGGGGAACCCTCTCAGTGGGGCCCAGTGATGCCATAGTCCTTTTTCTCTAGTTCTCCATCTCATCAGGATCCATGCATGTGAGTGCCTCTGGAGTGTTTTTGTTAGTTGGTTCTTAGGTTTTTGCCATAGGGTGCATACGTTCACTGGAGAGAGACAGAGAGACAGAAAGTGAGAAATTACCCCTTGGGGGGATGGCTACACTGCAATCCCTTCTCCTCCGTTCTCCCCCTGGGATTTTGGTCATGCATGCACAGGTGCTGGGTGTGATTTTCAAGCCACAGGGTCTGGAACACAACTGCAGTCAGCCTTATGGGAATCCAGTGCTGCAACCACCTCGCCACCTTCTGACCTTACCTCTGGAGTGTTTTTTAAGCCACTGGGGCTGGGACTTGAACCCTGGTTGGCCGTGTAGAATCCTGCAACAAAAACATTTATGTGACTGCAACACATTTCCTTATACTTGAACAAATCATCCCCATTGTTGGGCAGTGAGATATTTCATTTATATGCTTAAAGATCCCATTTCTGTTGATGATAATACCATTCTGAAATGAGAAACTTTGGATTATCTGTCTTTTTTTTTTTCTTTAGGCCAACCATTTATTTCTCACTAATTCTTGTTCCCTTTGCTGCTATTTCTGTTGCTGTTCAGGTTCTCACAGCTTCCTACAGGTTGCCCCATCCACTGTAGCTTGCATGCTCTATTTCTGATGGTGTTTCTAAGATACCATTATCGTGTGCCTTGCTCTGTCCCTTGGCATTTCTCATTGCTCTTGGTCTGGCCTGTCCTCTCTCCCTGTCAACTTGGTCTCCTCCTAATTCTTCCCAGGAGTCCAGACTGTCTCAACTTCTTCCCTTTCCTGAGTTGCTCTTCTATTGTGCTGTCCTCAGCACCCCACAGCTCAGCCCCCAGGGTCTCCAGATTCTTGTAAGTAAAATATTCAAATGGTTCACAGCCCCTTTATGACTTTCACCAGGAGCCTTCAGGGATGACCTTGGAGTTCCAGAATTCACCTTGTACTTTTTTTAGCTACTCAGGAAACATCTGTGGCACTCCTGGCTCTGGCTCAGGCCCAGAAGATTTTGGGTAGATGCAAGGGCATGTGAGTAGGTCAGGATGCCCCAGAAGATCACTGTGGGTTGATAGGAGTGGGGGTAGGGCAGGAGCAGGGACAAGGCTAGGCTGGAGCAGGAGAGCCTGGGAAGAGAGGATGCCAAGGTGTCTGAGGATAATGTGTGATGCGTCTTTTCTCTCTTTTTTCTCCCTCCTATTCGCTCTTCCTTCTTCTCTTTGCTCATAGGAATGATCCCAGGTAGCAGGCTGTCCTTGAGCAGGTGAGAAGGGATGCTCTAGGGCTGTGTAAATGGGCATGGATATGCTGGTCAGTGTGGATCTAAAGGTGGAGCATGCAAAAGTCCTTTCCCAATAATGTTACATTTATCAACAAAATAAGCACAGTTATTAGCTAGGAGGATGAAACCTTAGAAATATGGTGGTTTGAGGGAACCAGCAGTTAGCGTAATGGCTATGTCGCTGGACTCCCACGTAGTCGACCGTGGTTCACGGCCCGGACCCGGTGGCTTAAAACTTATGCCGGGCGCGTGTGCGTGCGTGCCCAAGATCCCGAGAGGAGAATGGAGGAGAAGGGATTGCGGCGTGACCATCCCCCCTGGGGGGTGATTTCTCGCTTTCTGTCTCTATGTCTCTCTCTGTCTGTCTGGCGAGCGCACGCGCCCTACAGTGAAAAATCTCTCCAAAAAAAAAAATATGGTGGTTTGGAGAGGGGAAAAGGGGCTGAAGCTGTCATGAGAAAGACTGTGAGGGAAAGGCACTCACATTGATGGAGTTAGTTTTAGAAAGGTCAAACGAGAGCAACCCTCTGGTGTGTTCCTCCAGTAGGTGAAGGTTCAATGTGAAAGGAGAGTTGAATTGAAATTAGGTTTTTTGTTTTTTGGGGGTTTTTTTTAGTTAGTTTGTTTTGTTTTTAAGAGAGTTTTTTTTTTTTTTTTTTTTTTTTTTTTGTGATAAGGCAAGCATCTCTTGCTGCAAAGACAGAGACAGAAAGTGAGAAATTCCCCCCGCCCCCCAGGGGGATGACCATGCTAGAATCCCTTCTCCTTCATTTTCCTCTCAGAATCTTGGGCACACAGGTATACATGCCTGGCATGAGTTTTAAGCCGTGGGATCTGGGACTTGAATCATAGTTGACTACGTGGGAGTCCAGCGACATAACTATTATGCTATCTGCTGGTCCCAGGGTTGGTCTTTTTTGTTTATTTGTTTGTTTGTTTGTTTTTACTAGATTTTTGCAGTAGAGCATGTGTGCTTGCTGGAGAGATGCAGAGAGAGGGAAAATGAGAAATCATGTCCCCGCTACCCCACCCTCCCAGGAGGATGACCACACTGCAATCTCTTTTCCTCCATTCTCTTCTTGGGATTTTGGGCATGCACACACACATGCATGGTGTGAATTTAAGGCTGCCAGGTCTGGGACTTGAACTAGAGTTGGCTGTGTGGGAATCCAGTACCTTAACTACCACACCACGTGCTGGCCCCTGTTTGTTTGTTTTTAATGATAGCACATGTATGCATGAGTAAGTGAGAGAGAGAGAGAGAAGCACCATTAATAGGGTGTC